TTGCGTTTGTGCCGTGTTCTTTTCTTTCCTCCAACCAATAGCGCTGCTCGTCCTGGAGAGTCCTCCTTGCGCTGGGTTCTCCCCGAGCTTCTGGCCGGAGTGCATCCTGTCAGAGCCCCGAATCATCAGGGGTAACTCGGCTCAGGGCTAACTCGGGTTCTTTTTTCGGGAATCCAAACCCGAGTTACCCCGGACCCGAGTTACCCCGGATAACTCGGGCGCCCAATCCTGGGGTCCGGGGCGCAACGGCATCGGCGCAGCGGAAGCCTTTGCCGAGCAAGGCCTTGCTTGCCTCCAGAGTGCCCTGGGTTTCTTGGGCGTCGAGGGCTCTGCGATGGCCAGCGTGGCGCTCCCACGCCCAAAGCCAATGTCAGGAGGGGAAAAACAAACAGACACAATCAGTCCTCGATTCCCCCGAAAATGTAGGAAAAGATGGGAAGTGTGTGGGGGGGGAGGCGAAAAAGCCCAGAAAATATCGGAAAAGATGGGGAATCCTGTTATTCGTGTGTGTGTGTATTGATCTGCGTGTCCCAGGGCCCCTTCACAGTGGACGCCCTGGGGCCTCGGGGTTGGGCCTTCCCTGCGGCAGGCGTCCCGTGGTCGAGCCCCCCCGCTGTGCCCGGGGGTGCTCCCCCCCGCCGGGGCGGGGGAGGGCCGCGAGGGCCCGGAGCCCGGAGCTCGGAGCGCGTCGGCCAGGCCCCCGCACCGGTCCTGGCCGTGGTCATCTTGGGCCGCTTATCGAACGAAGGATTTCCAAAAAAACCGAAGGATTGCAAAAAAAACCCTTGAACGAAGGATTGCAAAAGAAACCCTTCAATGAATGGTTTTTTTTGAATCCTTCATTGAAGGGTTTTTTTTGCAATCCTTCATTGAAGGGGTGTTTTTTGCAATCCTTCGATCCTGTACACCTTAGGCGATGCTTAAGAAAACCTAAGTTTTCGTCCAGAGTCTCGATTATTCTTAACTTGACAATGTAAATCCCAAGATTTTGATAGAAGTTCTGGGTTTTATTCAATTTCTGAGACCATGAATTTCTGAACCCATGATTTCTCAAGCATTTCGCAGGGTGTATCCGTCGTCGTTGGTTCGCAGAGCGTGGGAGGCGTGGCATTTTTTCCTGGGCGCCCGAGGCCGTGCACCTGGGGGCGGGGGGCGCCGTCCGTCGTGCGCTCGCACTGCGCAGCAGGCGTGGCACTTCCGTGGACACCAGAGGGGGGTGCGCAGGGCGCGGGGGCGCTATCCGCCGTGCGCTCGCCAAGCGTGGCGGGTGCAGCAGTTCAAGGGCTCCCACGAGGGTGCGAAGTTATTCGCGCTTCGCGGTCCTCGTTCCTTCTCCTCCTCCTCCTTGTCCTCCTTTTCTCCCTTTGGGGGGGTGGCGCGAGAGCGCGAAGTTATTCGCACTTCGCGCTTCGCGCAGCGCGAAGCGCGAAGTTGGGAGCCCTTGAGCAGTTCCTCGGCAACAGAGGGGGCGCGCAGGGGGCGCGCAAGGAGGTGGCGGGTCGGCGGCGTACTCCAGATGCCTTATCAATCGTCCCCGGGGCCCGGTTGGAAGGGCGCCTTTGTTATAACTGGGGGGGTCCAGTTTATGAGGGCGCTCTCTCGGTGGCATTCGGAGGGGGGTCAGGTCTTTTAAGGGGGGGGGGGTCGATTGATGAGGGATTTGGAGTACTCAGGCGATCGCAAACATGGATTAAGGGGGCGTGGATTAGCGACGGGTCCCGTTGCCATGGGACATCGCGGATGTCCGCCGCCGAACGGGGCGGCACTGGCCGCATTTTGGGGAGGGCACCTCCCCCGATCCATGGATTTGGCGACCGCGCGCCAAATCCATGGATCGCTAATCCATATTTGCGAACCCCCGATACCTACTCTAGGCCTCCCCGAGACGGTCATCCCCCCATTCGGCCCATCCCCGAACGAGTGTGCGAGGGGGTTTCAAGGCAAGCAGGATTTTACGAACGCTCTCAGAGGTGATCCGCCGTTGCGTGCGGAACGCGTGAGGTCAAGCTCTCCCCCCCGCTCCGCCTCATTCTTCCACTCGGACCAGTCCTTCCGCTCCGACTCCCACCACCGACTCTCCTGGGGGCTTCGGGCCCTGGCAACTTGGGCCTTTGCTCTCGCGGGGCTTGCCCCCAGTCGCCAGCAGGGATTCTTCGCATCGCTCGGACGTGTGCATCTCTTCTCGGCGAGGACCATCGAGGAGCATCCGGAACCACTTGCCGAAGCTACACGCACGACATCCAAGCAAAGGGGGTGCACGTCCGAGCAATGGCGAGAAGCGGCAGTTCGCCCCCCCCCCCCCCCTGGAACCCTGCCCCGCCGCGGGCGTGTGTAGTTTGGGGGGGAGCGAGGGTCCCCCACCCCCCCCCCCAAACAAAGGCAGTGGGCCCCCGGCCCGGGGACGTCACGGTTGTGGGGGAGGGGAGGGAGGGATGCAGGCCTCACATGAAGATAGCGAGCATTCATGCCGCACTCATCTGTCCATGTCCCCCCCAATGATCATTGTTGGCGGTGGGTTGAATGAGCTGCACTGCGACCGCACTCTTCCCCGCGCGTGCCAACTTTGAAGTTCGGGGGAGCTGGGGAGTGTCCATCAAGTGTTACCTTCTACCGTGCCACACTAGAGATTCGATGCGGGGAGCCCCCTCTCTGCCCATCTGCGCGTCTCCTGTTGTGAAGCACTCCAGGCCTCCCAGAGAAGGTCGAAGCAGATGGGGTCGCAGGACCGCGCCGCGTCGGCGGTGCGGCTCGGTGTGGGTCCCCGAGCTCTGCATCAGCAATGCGGCGCGGTCCTCCGACCCCATCTTCTCCGACCCCATCTAGGAGGCCTCTTAAACATTCGTTTTGCATACTCGAGCATGGGCAGATCTACAAGCGAATAATATTGAGTAGTGGCTAGTCTTAAGTTGGGCCTGTCCCTCTACAGGGGGATTCAAAATTAGTACAAAAATAGTCAGGGGACGACTTGTTTGACTATTCTTATTTTTGTTTGGAATACTTTGGGGGATAACTTTGATTTTTCGTCCAAAATCCCCATGTAGGGGGACAGGCCCGACCTAATGCTAGTCCGAGCGCGAGCTCTTCTCTCTGCTGCCGTCTCTCTGCCGCCATATATGCTGCGGCGTTCACGGGGCTCCGAAGGGAGACCCGTCGAAGCTGGTGAGCGAGAGCCTCGCGCGGGACATCCCTACAGTCCGGGCGCGGGCGGGCAAGCGTCATGCCCCCTGGCGGCTCTACCTTGGTCTGTCGAGCTGCTACGCATGCTACGTCGCGATGGCCCTGGGGCTTCGAGAAGAAATGAGCCGGTGGCGCAACACAAGCGCATCGCTTCAGGCATCTCCGGCATCTGGGCGCGAGGGGGCAAGTGTCATCCCCCGGAGGCTCCCCTGTGGGGTGCCCAAGTGCTACACGTGCTACATCGCGATCAGCATGGGCAATTCTGAGTACGAGGAGCGAGTACGAGTTGGTGTGAATGTGAGTGGCAGATTGTGCGTAAGTCACTGACTAAGCTCGGTATGAGTGATTACTAGTGTGCGAGTCTGAGTGTACATATGAGTGACTCACAGCGTGAGCGATCGGAAGTACGAGTGATTGAGCGTGGACCATGTCGAGTATGATTAAGCTTAGTATGAGTGAGCATGAGTATGACTAAGCCGAGTTTGTTCTGAGTGCGCGAAGCAGACGTACGGCATCACACGAATAGTAAGAACCCCGATTCAGGAAATGGGGAACAAAACCACACACCGAGGTTATGAGATGGGGAAAACCGACCTCATTGTGGCTTCTTTTGGGAGAGGGGGGTGCCATCAACATCCCAAATAAAACAATTATGTTTCTCCGTCATGTTTGCATTGGGGTCCTGGGAACCTCCTCAAACAAAAAAACACCCCTAAACCCTAAACCCACGTCATTGTTTTTGAGGGGGCCAGTAACCTTTTTGAAAAATCTGGCCTGACGCGATATGGATGTCCGCGACAGGTGCCGAGGTTGTTTGCTGGCGGAGGTAAGGCCCCCTGGAATTAATTGCGAATCGTTATTTGGTCGGCTGCGCCGTAATCGGCTGCGCTCGGGCGGCTCGATTCAGCCGGTTGTTGCGTCGGCGAGTCTTTCTGATTTGTGTTCGGTCCGTCGGGTTCGACTCTCGAGTTGTGTTGTCGGTTCGGCCGGTGTTCGGTCTTGTTGTCACCGTGGACGTCTATGGAGTTCTATATCAGGAAGCGAAGCGAGAATGCCCCATGGAGCCCAGCCGCCCGGGGAGCTTGCAGGCAAGGATCGCCGCTTGCCTTCCCATGCTCGTGTTGCATATCGCCAGCGGGTACCCTACACCCATGGCGCGGCAGGTTCGAAGGCGAAGGGAGGGGAGGAGAGTGGAAGGGACGGCAAGGCGGGGAGGAGGACGAAGGAGAAGGGAAGGGGGGGGAGGGATGCGAGCAGAGGGGGAGAGGCAGGCTGGAGCGACGGGCGGGAGGGAGAGAAAAGGGCTCTCTTCTCTTCGCCTTGGCCCCCGTGGCTCGGACATCCTCCACCTCACCCTCCTCTGCCTCCTCCTCCTCCTCCTCCTCCTCCTCCTCCTCCTCCTCCTCCTCCTCCTCCTCCTCCTCCTCATTATCCTCCTTTCGTGTTTAGCTTCCCCTATCGTGGTGCCTGGGTTGAATTCGCCTCCTACGCGGTCTTACCACACCATACTTTCGAGCTTCAAGCTGCGGGCCTCTGGTTATCGTCACCTCCTCCTCCTCCTCATCCTCATCTTCCTCCTCCTCCTCCTCCCCCTCCCTCCGTCAGTTGTGGACGGGCTGGAGGCCCGAACGTAGATATGTGGGTCGTTGGGCAGGGACTCACGGACAAAGCGATTGTATGCCCATAGTTGTGTTTGTCTGTCTGTCTGTCCTCCTCCTCTATCTCCTCCCCCTCCTTCTCCTCCCCCCTTTCTCCCCCTCCTCCTCCTCCTCCTCCTCCTCCTCCTCCTCCTCCTCCTCCTCCTCCTCCTCCTCCTCCACTGCAGTCCGTCCCAAGGCCTTACAGCCCCCGCAGATCCAGATGGCCGCGCCAGTGCGCGCTCGGCGCGCCGCGGCAGCATGCCGCCGCCGCGCGCCTTCCCGCTGGCCGTCCCGCTGGCCAGCGCGTGGGGCGCCGCCCAGGATCGGGGCGCACACAATCGGACGGCGTCAACTGGGAGAGGGAGGAGGAGGAGGAGGAGGAGGAGGAGGAGGAGGAGGAGGGAAGGGAAAGAGGAGGAGGAGGAGGAGGAGGAGGAGGACGAGGAGGAGGGAAAGAGGAGGGAGGGAAAGAGGAGGAGGAGGAAGGGAAAGAGGAGGAGGAGGAGGAGGAGAGGACGGGAGGACGAGGAGGAGGAGGAGGAGGAGGAAGTGGAGGAGGAGGAGGCGGAGGAGGAGGAGGAGGAGGTCGAGGAGGAGGAAGAGGAGGCGGAGGAGGAGGAGGAGGAGGAGGAAGAGGAGGAGGAGGGGCGAGGAGGAGAGGAGGAGGAGGAGAGGAGGAGGAGGGCAGGAGGAGGAGGAGGAGGAGGAGGAGGAGGAGGAGGGAGGAGGAGGAGGAGGAGGAGGAGGGAGGGGGGAGGAGGAGGAGGAGGAGGAGAGGAGGAGGCGGAGAGGAGGAGGAGGGAGGAGAGGATGAGAAGAGGAGGAGGGTGCGGAGGAGGAGAGGAGGAGGAGGAGGAGGCGGAGGAGGAGGAGGAGGAGGAGGAGGGAGGAGGAGGAGGAGGAGGAGAAAGAGGAGGAGGAGGAGGAGGAGGAGGACGAAGTGGAGGAGGACGAGGAGGAGGAGGCAGAGGGGGAGTAGGACGAGGAGGAGGAAGAAGAAGAAGAAGCAGAAGCAGAAGCAGAAGCGAAGCAGAAGAAGGACAAACAGAGGAGGAGGAGGAGGAGGTGGAGGGGGAGGAGGAAGAGGAGGAGGAGGAGGAGCTCTTCATCCTGGCTTCTCCCCCGTCTGACAATCAATGCACTCAGTAGGGACGTGCGCCTTCATCTAGGGTTTATGATGTTCCAACCTACTTTAGCCTTGAGCACCAGAAAGAATTTCGAGCAAAGTGCCGAACCTCGAGGGTGTTCACGTGTCGTGCCCTGGGAGACACTCGTCCGACACTGTTTCGAGACTCTGTCGACACTCTTTCGACACTTTTCCGGGTGCTCGAAATTATTTCTGGGATGTGGTCCCTTAAGTACGATGGGAGCAACATAATTCTAGGGTGCTCTTGTGTCCTTGCCTTTGCGGCCCGTCCTTTGCCGTTTTCATTGTTCGCCCGCCGCCCCAAAAAAACCCAATTTCGGCCTCCAAGGATCTCGCGTCTTTACCACCCGCCACCCAGATCCTGCAGGATCGTGCAAGGCTGGAGTTGGGCCGAGCCGGGTGGCAAGGCTTCGGGCTGCGCACAGACAGCCCCCCAGGTACACATGAGCAACCTCCCCCAGGGTACATTTATATCCTTGCCTCCTCGGTCCATCCTTGACCACTTTCGTTGGTCGCGCCCCGCTCGAAAAGCAAATGGGCGTCCAAGGCCCTTGCATCCTTATCGCGCATCTTTCTGATACGGGCCGACTGTAGTCCCGGCGAGCCTCACCAGGCCCCCCGAGCAGCTTGGGGCCCGGCGGCGCCTCTGTGCGCTCCGCGCGCCAGGGTTGGGGCGTCGAGGCCACATTGGACCTCTCGGGGGCCTGTTGAGGCCGGCTGGGACTGCTCGAGGGGTCTGCTGTGGCAAGCGGGGTCTACAAAGAAGAAGAGGATACGCTACAGAAGCAGCCCGCAGATGCGGATAAGAGTGGAGGTGCGGTGGGGACGTCTGCAGTTTGCAAGACTCTGGAGAAGCCCGCCGCAGGCACCAAAGTTTCACAAATCAAGATAATACAACGAGCCCACCGCAGGCGCCGTTTTTCGTTAAACCAATGTGGGTAGGTCGCGGGTGAGTTGCGGATGGGTCGCGGGTGGGTCGCGGAGTGGGTCGCGGGGTGGATCGCGGGTGGGTCGCGGGGTGGGTCGCGGGTGGGTCGCGGGGTGGGTCGCGGTTGGGTCCCGGGGTGGGTCGAGGGGGGGTCGCGGATTGGGTCGCGGAGTGGGTCGCGGGTGGAACGACGACAACAAAACAACAACAACAACAACAACAACAACAACAACAACAACAACAACAACAACAACAACAACAACAACAACAACAACAACAACAACGCAACAAGCAGAACCCTCACCACAGCTCCCCACTTTAGCCACGCACCTCAGGACAATGAATGACCGTGCAACCCCCTCACTCTGACAAGCATGAACTGTTGGCGCTCCGCCGGGATGTCTTGGATCCGCGATGAGCCCCCCCGGCGCGCTCGTCCAAGAAATCCGCGCGGAGTGCCAAAAGTCTGTTCTTTTCCTACTACCTGGAGGGGCTGTCTGAGCGCAGCCCGAAGCCTCCCCAGAGCCGGGCTTGAAGCCAGTGGCGGCCCTGGGGCCCTGGAGGTGGCTTCACCTCTCGGCCGGGCCCGGTGTGGGGAAGCCCCCCTGCGAAGAATGCAGGGCGGTTGTTGTGGAAGCGGTGGAGCCGGGCTTGCGCTGAGCCCGACTAGAGCCCACGCCCGACAGGAGCCCGTGCCCGTGTATTTCTACGACGTCCCCGAGGTCGAAGGACGAAAAGCGGCATGAGCATGAGCTTCCAGAGCTGCGCGCGGATTGCTTGCATCGGCGCTGGGGCCTGGCCCTGGCAGCGCCTCCAGCGCCGCCCCTGGCGAGCTCCGCGCGCCGGGGAGGGTGTCCATCTAGGCTTCCCAAATGGAGTCCGAGCAGATGGGGTCGAAGGATCACACCGCATTGCCGATGCATCGGCGCCGTGGCTCGATATGAATCTCAATTTTCTCCACGTCGACGTCGTCGATGCATCGCCGACGTCGACGATGCATCGACGATGCGTCGACGATGCATTGGCGATGCATCAGCGATGCAGCCCGATCCTGCGACCCCATCTATTCGGACCCCATGTGGCAGGCCTCCAGTCCCGCGCCGATCGAAATCCGCGCGGAGCTGCGAAAGTCTATGCCTGTGGCGTTTTTGTGGCTCCCTCCGCGAGTGCGCGCGGGACGCGGTGCGCGGGCTGGTGCTCCACGGGGGTGCCCCGCCGGGCCCGCGGGGCCCGACGCAGCCCGAGTTGCTGCACTTGCGCGAGATGCTGCAGCAGATCTCCGCCGTGGAGCTCGGAGAAGGAAAAACTGTGTAGGCATAGATCGACGGCGAAAGACGAGCCCTCCTCCTCCCTCTCCTCCTCCTCCTCCTCCTCCCTCTCCTCCTTCTCCTCCTCTTCCTCCTCCTCCTCCTCTTCCTCCTCCTCCTCCTCCTCGTCCTCCCCTCCTCCTCCTCCCCTCCTCGTCCTCCTCCTCCTCCTCCTCCTCCTCCTCCTCTTCCTCCTCCTCCTCCTCCTCATCATCATCATCATCATCCTCCTCCTCGCCGATCAACGATTCAGGGAACTCGATGGGCGGCGAGGGTAGGGTTCGGAAGTCGTGGGACACGTGGCGAAAGCCGAACCGTACCCCCGCCTCCCATCGGCCACGCAATGACTGTTCGGAGTTCCGGGCGGATTTCTGGGGTCGGCGCTGGGGCCCCCCTGGCGACGCCTCCAGCGACGCCCCTGGCGCGCGCCGCGCGCCAGGGTTTGGTTTTTGTTGCAGGACCGTCGGTACGGCGAAAGCTTTGCAGAGGCAAGATGCGCCTGTTTCGGGACCCCTTTTGGAGGTGGTGAGTTGGCCAGAGGTTCCGTACAAGACAATGTGCAGTGGAGGCCAGTCCGCAGGAAACTTTCCACCAGAAGCCCAAGGCACTTCTTCACAAGTCACGCTTCTCAGCGCAGAACCATCAAAACCCAAGAAACTCAGGGCGCCTTGAAGGCAAGCAGGGTGCTTCTTGGCATGTGTCTCCAATGTATGCTTTGCTTTACGTGATCTGGATACGGGTAGGTTCGTGTCGTGTCAGCCGGCGGCGACCCCGCCGCCGGCGCTCAACCTGGAACGCCGCGGGTGATCCCGAATCGTTCGGTGTGGAACGAGATTTGGACGTTTCGGGAACGGCCGATCGTGCAGTGTTTGAACGATCCCCGCGGTGCCAGAAGCCAACGCCGACGTCGGCACGACACGAGCCTGCCGCACGGTTCCAAGCCGAGGGTGCTCCTCGCGGGCCTCCGCGCGCGCTCGGCGCTGGCCCCGCGGCGCGTGCGCCGCGGCGCCAGCGGAGCGCGGGCCGAGCGCCGCAGCGGAGCGCGGAGGGCAGCGGAGGCCCGTGCACGAGGAGCCTCCCAGTGGTGTCCAGGGATCTCCCATGGCCCCGGCCATGATGCCCGCCCCCCCCCCTTGGGCGCCGCGTAATGGGGGGGGGTCATAAATGGGGGGGCGGCGAGGGTGGTTCGAAAAGGTACCCAAACGGTACCTAAACGAGCCCCCTGGGGCTCTGGAGGGGCCCGAAAGGGACACGAAAGGGGACCTTTTCTGACCCTCCCCCCATGTATGACCCCCCCATTAAGCCACGTCCAACCCCCCGCCAGTCCTCCCCCAGCACCCGCATTCGAGCCGCTCGGTGGCTTTGGGGCCACACGGTGGAGGTCGATGAACAAGAGAGAGACCTTCCGCGAGGACACCCGACCCTGAGACCCGCCGGGACGTCCACCGATGTTTGTTCGTTTGTGTGGGCACGGCACGCTCTCCGCAGCAGGGCCATCGGAGCCCAGGAAGCCCAGGGCGCCCTGGAAGCAAGCGGGGTGTTTTGCGGCATGGGCCCCCGCGGTAGAGACAGCGGCGCCAGTGCAGAAGCGTGGAAGCTTTTTTGCGTGCGCCGCCTCGTGATCCGACCGATCGTTCCGCATGGCCTGGCGTCGCACAGCAGCCAGCCCTGGCTCCAGTCGAAACATACCCAGACATGGTCGCTTCGTAAAAAAATCCAGACGGGAGGCTTTTGGTGAGTTTCGGCCCTGGGGGGCCCTCGCCAGGATTCGGGACCGTCAGAAAACGACTCAGAACGAAAAACCGGTCCCGGGGAAAGGGTCGGGACTTCCAGGGATGCCGTCCTGAAAAAATCAGGACGTCGCATGTCTGGGTAGTGATGCTTCGGGGTCGGCAAAGAGGGGGTTGATGACTAGGGGGGTGGATATCATGGCGTGGGCCATTCCCCAGATTTCATGGCGCCCCTTCTTGTTTCATTCCGTCCCCTGCCCCCCCCCCCCCCTTGGGCCGCGCACATTCCGCCGGTCATGATTTGCACCCCCCCTCCTGGACGCCCCCCTCTTTGGCCACCCCCGAGCGTGCATGCTTCTGTGTGCCAGGAGCGGCACCTGGAGCGCACGCACCGCGTGGCGGACCCGGGCCGGGCGGCGCTGTTCCTCGTCCCCGCCTACTTCCCGCTCCTGTTCCCGGAGGGGGGCCCGTCGAGACGGCGGCGGCCCTCCCTGGGGGTTTGTCTTGCGGCGGGCCTGTCCCTCTATAACAGGAGGAAAAGTCCCAAATCGTCCAAGAACAGTTGGTCTGTGGACGCTGTTTTGTCTTTGCTGCTATTTTTCGCCATTGGGGAGTATCTTTTGAGCCTTTTTTAGCTCTCGCTCAAAAATTCCCCCTGCAGGGGGACAGGCCCGACCGAAGGTCTGTCGTGCTTGCCGGGGCCCCCCTGGAGGGCTCTCGTCGCCGCGGCGGGGTCCGCCTCGAGGAAAGCGGGTCGGGACGGAGCCCGGCGGGGGGGCTTGGCATCGCTCGGACGCGTGCACTTCTCTGTCGGCGAGGGCCATCGAGGAGCATCCTTGATCACTTGGCGAGAAGGCCACGCACGAAACCGAAAAAAAAGCACGGGGAAGGGACGTTCGAGCGATGGCCAGGGGGAGGGGTCCAGGCACCGAGTCCGAGCGGACCTGGACTGGGCGGGAGAGGAGGAGGAGGAGGAGGAGGAGGAGGAGGAGGAGGAGGAGGAGGAGGAGGACGAGCGGGCAGGAGAGAGAAAGGGGAGGGGCTACGAAGTTTGCTGCACGCAGCCGGGTCCCGCCCTGCCGGGCCCAGTCCTCGATGCACGGGCGCCTCCCGGCGCCGGGAGGCCCCAGGAAAACCGGTTGCTTACGTGAGCCGATTCTTTGCCCTGGCCTTTGCTATCCTATATGGCCTTTTCGGGCAGGGCAAAAGGGGGGATAGCAAGGGGGGGAGGGAGAATCAGCTCACGTAGCTGATCTTCCCAGCGCCTCCCGGCGCCAGAGACGGCTATGCATCGAGGAGTGAGCCCCTCGGTGGGGCCGAAACCAGCTGCATGCAGCAGATTTCGTAACCCCCCTTTTTTCAAAACCCCCCCTTTCGTCCGGCCCGACCTTTCGTCTCCCCCCAGACCTAAGTCGGGCCTGTCCCTCCACAGGAGGAATATTCAAAGATAGTCTAAACATGGTATGGGGACGATTTGTGTTGCATTTTTGAGCCTGTTTGGAGTTTTTGCTCGAGCATTTTAATTTGTCGTCCAAAATCCCCCTGTAGGGGTCGGGCGTTGGTAGAACTGGGTTTAGTGGAACCTGGTTTAGTGATCTGTACCGGGGGCGCCCCCCCGTCCCATTTCCACTGACCGGAGTTGCCGTCACCCGAAAGAACAACAGTTGCGGCAAGCCTGGTTCGGTGAATCTGGCCCATTGAGGAGCCCCAGGGCCCTACCACTAAGCGGGTCCCCTTACCCGGAGTCCTGGCTATACCCGATTCGGGTTCGGCTGCACCGGCCGCAAGGCCTCCACGATCAGCGCGCCGTCAGCAGCCACCACAAAATCGGCTCGCGCCGCCGCCCCCCGCCGCGGGCGGGCGGCCAAGACCGGCACGCCGCGGCGGGGGACCCCGAGGCTGCGCGGAGGGCCCTCGCGCACCGCGGCGGTCCTGGCCGTACCCGAAGGGGGCACACGCCCGACTTGCACCCCGGACCGAGCGGGAGAGCTGCCGTGGTCTCCACCGGCCCGGCTCCGGCCGTCTGGCTGGACCAGCGCACGGACTCCCCGGAGCGCGCGCCGCACCTCGCGTGCGTCCGCGAGACCGTGGGGGCCGTCGAGAGGTTTGGGGAGGAGAGAAAACCGCACGCAGACAATGAATCGTCGATTCCCCAGAACATGTGGGAAAACATGGGAAGTGGGGGGAAGACAAAAGCCCAGGGAAGATTTGAATACATATATATATATATATATACATATATATATATATATATATATATTTATATATGTTTAAATTAATGTATGTCCCAGGCCCCCCTCAAGGTTGCCGTTCGTGTCGCGGCACATGGGGTACGACCACGTCATCTTGTACGGCTCGAAGAACAAAGAACGGCAGAAACATACACTTTCGGCGGTCGGGTCCGCGCGGATTTCTCGGATCTGCGCCGGGACCCCCTGACCGCCGGTGCCGCCCTCGGCGCGCTCCGCGCGCCAGGGAACGGGGTCCAGCGCGGATCAAAGAACTCCGCGCGGTCGCCCAAAGCTTGTGTTCATGCCTTTGTTGGTTCCTCTCGCGGCTACGAGTACCCGCACTGGAAGAGGCTCCCCCACCTCCAGCTGGAGAATTACAGCCCCCGGCTGGGCAACGCCCTGTTGCTGGCCGCGTCGCTCTGGAACCAGGGCCGGCGGGAGGCCCTCCTGGGGGGTGGCCTGCACCAGCTCGGCCGGGTGATCGAGGTGCCCTACTTTGCCGCCTGGGACTGCAGGCGCGCGGAGGCCCTGCGGACGGCCGCCCGCGACGTGGCCGTGGCCTTCGTCGGCTCCCTGAAGCACCGCCCCCCGCACTTCGTCTTCCGCGAGCGGCTGCTCGTGTCCGCCGCGGCCCGCCGGCCCGCGCTGGCCAACGACACCCGCCTGTCGCTGGAGTTCTTCGCCGCGGACGACGAGTCGCGGCACGTCTTCGCGCGCGACTAGCTTGGGGCCTGCGGCCGTGTCTGCCGGCGGCCCCATCCTCGGCTGTTCGGGTGTAGCCAGGACCCCAGGTAAGGGGACCCAGTCAGTAGCAGGGCCCCGGAGCCCCTGAAATTGTGGCGACGGCAGTTCCGGTTAGTTCAACGGGGCGGGGCGGGCGTCCCCCAGTACACGTCACTAAACCAAGTCTCACGAAACCCAGTTCAGCCAACGCCCGAGTTGTGCCGTGCCCATTTTTGTGAGCATCTCGGCACGTCCTGTCGCCGCGCCCGGGCTGCGCGTCAAAGGCACAGCGGGAGACGGCTGAGGGCAACAACGTTCGCAGCTCCGGCATTGCAGTTTCTTGGGATGCGGGCCGCTCGGAGGCCTCGAGCAACTCTCTTGGGGACCCTTTTAAGGGGGTTCTTATTAGCTTATTGGGGGCCACTTGAACCATTGACGGAATGCGACGTTTATCATTCGGCTCTTGCGTGGGATGTGTCAAGGTTTTGACACACTAGGCTGGTATGTTTCAAGGCGCGCGCCAGAACGCTGGGACACGTAAAGCACCCACGCGAGCGTACATGCACATACATGTAACGTTTGGCATACGCACGCATGATTCGCATGCGCAAGCCTGAATGGCTACACGGTTGCACGCGTTGCATGTGCACACGTCAGTACACGCGGACGGAGTTCCAGTTCCGCGATGTGGAACCTTGACCACCTTTGGGCGGGCTTTGGTTGCCCTCGGAGCTTTTTCCGCGCAGGTCATCTTGCGCGCGCACACGAAGCGAGCGCGCAGCATCTGTTACACAAATCGGCATACAGATGAATTGTCGGAGAGCCACGCGGATTTCTCGGATCGGAGTTGGAACCGCTTGGCGGCTCCTCCGACGCCGAGCGCCAGGGAGGGGAGTCCAAGAAATCAGCGAAGATGTCCAAAAGTTGATTTCCCAAACAGTGCTTCCACTTAGGAGTTCAGACTTCTCTGTCTCAAGGAACTGAGCTCGTTTGTCGGGTCCGCCGCTTAGCTGCTGCCGTCGCCACCCCGTCGCCGCCCGTCGTTTGGGCTCGTTTGACGGGTCCGCCGCCTTGTTGCCGCCGTCGCCGCCCCATCGCCGTCGCCGCCCTGTCGTTGCCCGTCGTCGGGGCTCGTTTGTCGGGTCCCGCCGCCGTGTTGCCGCCGTCGCCGACCCGTCCCTTGCACCACATTGAATGCACAACATGTAGCACCACATAGATTGTACCACATAGGTTTCTCCACATAGATTGCACCACTAATGTTGCTAGAAGATAATGGTTTGGGGTCCACGCTGGCTAACAAGTGTATGGCATCAGGTGTTACTCGATGTGTTGCCATGTTCACGCACGAACGCGATTCTAGTGTTTCTGACTGTGGTGTTCCGATATCAAGACCACCTCTGCCAAGAAGATCCACAGGGTTTGCCCTCGCAGAGGGCGGAGGCGGGCAGGGAAGACCGAGAGTACCTCTATTCCCGCTCTGACTTCTGTTTAGTAATGCCAGGAGACGGGAACACTGCGGGACGATTGTTCCACGTCATCATGGCAGGATGTATTTAGTGACCTTCGGCCCATTCCGCCACCGTGCTTGTGTTGTAGGTCGTTGGTCAGAGGCCTCTTGGATGCTTGTGGGGATCCCTGGGGAGGCCGCTTCGGAAGCATCTTGCAGGCGTGGGGCGCCTTGGGGCCTCCCAGGGGCCTCTTGGGGGCCGTATGGACCCCGTAAGGAGTATTCCAATGCTCAACACGGGTGATGTTAAGGGCCCTGAGGACATTCCATCTCGCGCTTCGAGGCACGGTGGCGGATTCCTGTGCTTGCATTTCATCCAGATTCTTACCCAGTTTTACCGTTCTCAAATATCATCTCATGGGAAGACTTCGTGTTCATGAATAGCGTGGGCAGCGAGGAGGAGGCAGCCACGATGTTATTCCGCCTTCTGTCGGTGCCGATAGCCGAGCGCGAGCAGTACCGCCGAAAGGTCATTCAACATGCGCCGCTGCTCGCGTTGGTTGTGGAGGGGTGCGACGACAGAGCCACCACTGCACTGTCGCTGATATCCTCAGAGCTGGGCAGACGTTCACGCCACTTGCAGGAGGAGTTACTCCCTAGAGTATTCGGTTTGATGGCGCCTCCAGCAGATTCATCACACTGGCTGCGTTGGGGCCCAGCGCACAATGTAGCATGATATGCGTGCCCTGCGCGAGGGACAGGCCGTCGTAGTTTGTCTGGCGGCCATCATTGATAGTATGTCCGCGCGTGTTGATATCGGCTGGCGCATCTCAAGCTGACCATTCCAGATCGAACAGTAGTCTGGAGTAGATTGCGATGCGCAACCGTCCCTTTCAAAGAACAGCAAATTAAATGCAGCGTGTATGTATATGTCGTTCGTCAATCCTTCATCGCTCCAGGAGATCGCAAGTCGTTGATGTGTTGCATGTGCTCATGTGTGCAGTATACCGCCTTCAAGCACTTCTTGACAAGTAAACAGCGTGGCATGGTATCGGTCGATGGCCTTTTGCACAGAGATGGGCGCACCGTTTGCCTTGGATATATGGAATCGGAAGTCGGGAACGGAATAAGCAGGAACAGGAGAGGAAAGACATACAAAAAAAGGCAACGGCACGTATTTGTCCATTGCCTAGAATCTCCAGTTTCAAGAAGATACCGAAAGGTACAGGTACGATATCTACCTAAGTTGACGTCGGAAGGTGGTTTCGGTCTCCGCCCGAACGGTTTCGATGTTAACATCACCCGTATCCAAATTGAACTGATTGCGTTCTTTGGACGCCCTGGCGCGGGCGAGCGAGAGAGAGACAGAGGTATAACAATCAACCAAAAGATCCTCCCGTTTGCCTACGCCCGTAATCATTATTTCGTTACACATTCACACAGTCGCATCATCTTGACCACAATCACATATCATTCCCACACCCACACCTTATTACCATTATCGTGGTCGTCAGCATAACCGCACTCACGCTCACAACATTATCAGCATCATCAAGTTCAGAATCATCAGATCATCATCGTAACACCAACAGCATCATCACGACCACCACCACCACCACCATCATCATCATCATCATCATCATCATCATCATCATCATCATCATCATCATCATCATCATTACCAACATCATCAGCATCATCATCACCCTCATCATCATCGTCATCATCGTCATCATTGTCATCGCTATCACCAGCATCATCCTCACCATCATCATCATCATCATCATCATCATCACCATCATCATCATCATCATCAGTGCCCCCACGCACTCACACTTCCACACTCACACGCTCACACAGTCACACTTCGTACTGAGGAAGTCTCAAGCGATGGTCTCATCTGTGATTGAGTTGCCTGGAACTCTTGGGCGGCAGTCTCCTCCCCATCTATGGGGCGCGCGCTTCATATGTTTCATCCGAGGCGGCCGACCAAGCCCAGTATCTGTCGTCAGTTTCTATCATCGGGTCACCAGAACTCCACTCCCAGTGCTGATTCCGAGTGTCCAGGGCCAACAGTAGGGCATGTCGTGTTCCTCGAGTTCCATTCCCAACCTTGATGTTTCATGTTCGGAGCCAACCGTAAGCCACTTCGGGCATGTCGTTTACCCGGAAGTCCATTCCTGGACAAATGTCGCACGTCTGGAGCCAAGTGTAAGCTCTCGTGGCCCCAGAACATCATTCCTGGGACTGGTGATAAATGGTCAGGACCAATTGTAGGCCTCTTCGGGTTCTTCGTGCACCCAGAACTTCACTCCTGGGATCGATGCTGATTGAACTGCGGACGTCGTCTCAGGCGAGAGCGTCCTCCCTATGGGGCCCGCGATATCACATGTTGCATACGAGGCGGCCAGCCAAGCCCAGCGATTGTTGTCATTGTCTATCATCGGGTCACCAGAACTCCACTCCCAGTGTCCGAAACCAGCTGTGGGTCATTTTGTGTGCTTCGAGTTCCCAGAACTCCATTCCCAGGCTTGATGTTGCATGCTTGGAGCCATCTGTAAGCCACTTCGGGCAGTTCGTTTTTCCAGACTCCATGCCTGGACAAACGTCGCGCGTTTGAAGCCAATCGTAAGCCATTTTGAGTTGCTCGTGCTCCCAGAACTCCACTCCTGGTACTGGTTCTGAATGATCGGGGCAAGTCGTAGGTCTCTTCGGGTTGGGTCCTTTGCGCACCCAGAACTTCACTCCTGGGATCGATGTTGATTGAATTGCGGACGTCTTCTCAGGCGAGAGCCTTCTCCCGATGGGGCCCGCGATTCATCAGAGTGAGGGTGCTGAACAGAACGGTCATTCACTGTCCCTGGGTGCGTCGCTGAAGTGGAATTCCGCGATGCGGATTCTTGTTGTTGTTGTCGTCGTCTCACCCGCGACCCGCCCCGCGACCCACCCGCGACCCACTCCGCGACCCATCCGCAGCCCACCCGCGATCCACCCCGCGACCCACCCGCGACCCATCCCGCGACCCACCCGCGACCCACCCGCGACCCACCCGCGACCCACCCCGCGACCCGCCCGCGACCCACCCCGAGACCCCCCCGGCGACCCACCCGGCGACCCACCGGCGACCCATCCGCGACCCACCCGCGACCCACCCCGCGACCCACCCGCGACCCACCCGACCCACCCGCGACCCACCCGCGACCCACCGCGACCCACCCGCGACCCACCCGCGACCCACCCGCCCCGCGACCCACCCAAAATTGTCGGCGCTTGCGGCCGGTTTCTTTGCATGCGTTCCAGGTGGAGAACTTGCGACCCACCCGCGACCCAAACCGCGACCCACCGCGACCCACCCGCGACCCACCCGCGACCCACCCCGCGACCCGCCCAAAATTTTCGGCGCCTGCGGCGGGTTTTTTTTACATTCGTTCCAGGTGGAGAACCCGCGACCCAAACCGCGTTCAGTGTACAAATCGAAAGGTTCGGCGCCTGCGGCGGGCTGTTTTTTGTATTCCTTCCAGGTGGAGGTGGAGAGCCCGCGACCCATCCGCGGCCCAAACTACGTTCACTGAACAAGCCAAAATTTCGGCGCCTGCGGCGGGCTTCTTCTGCATTCGTTCCAGGTGGAGAACTTGCGACCCAAACCGCGTTCAGTGTACAAATCGAAAGGTTCGGCGCCTGCGGCGGGCTGTTTTTGAATTCTTTCCAGGTGGAGGTGGAGAGCCCGCGACCCCCCGCGACCAAAACTACGTTCACTGAACATGCCAACAAGTCGGCGCTTGTTGCGGGCTGTTTTTGCATTCATTCTGGGTGGCCCACCAGCGATTCCCCCCGCGCTGAATTTGTCAGAGCACGCAAATCCGCGCTTGCGGCGGGCTTGCTCGCATTGGTTAAGAGGAGGAGGAGGAAAAGGAGGAAGAGGAGGAGGAGGTGGAGGAGGAGGAGGCGGACGACGACGACGACGACGACGACGATGAGGACGCGGACGAGGAAGAGGAGGAGGAGGAGGAGGAAGAGGAGCAGGAGGAGAAAGAGGAGGAGGAGGAGGAGGAGGAGGGCGCCATCGACAGGGAAGGTGGGGGCCACGAGGCCCGGCAGCTCGACGCTCGCGTCGCCCGCGCCCGCCCCCTCACTCTTATCCGCAATTGCGGGGCGCTACGTGCATCCAGGGCGGCCAGTCAAGCCCGGTAGCTATCGTCATGCTCTGTCATCGGGTCGCCAGAACTCCGCTCCCGGTGTTGATTCCATGTGTCCAGAGACATATGTGGGTCAGGTCGTGTTCTTCGAGATCCCAGAACTCCACTCCCAGGCCTGGAGCCAAATGGATGCCACTTCAGGCTCCCCGCTCTCCCAGAATTCCATCCCCAATGTTTAGACGCTTCGCGTATCGCCGCCAGCCTTTGTCCTGCGTCTGTTTTTTTGCAGTTTGCAAACGCTGCCCTGCTTGTGCGGCGTCCGACTCGTTTCGCGCGCCCGCGGACCAAACAAATCGCCACCAGCCCATCCAGAAACGATGTCCAGGCGAGTTGAGGTGATCAGGGGAAGTGCGGGAGCAAAGGGGGGGGGGCGGCCGAGCCGTGCGAAGGAGGGAGGAGGAGGAGAAGGAGGAGGCTGGATGGATGGATGAGGGAGTGGGGAGAAGGAAGACGAATGGGATGAGGAGGAGGAGGAGGAGGAGGGAGGACCAGGAGGAGGAGGGCAAGCAAAAGGGCCAGAGGTCTCTCAGATGCCTCTCGGAGCTTTTTGGGGGATATCTCTTAGGCGCTTCTTGGTGGCTTCTTGGAACGTCGTGGTCCTGGGGGGCTCTTGGGCGTTTCGGTGCCTCGGGGGGGCCCCTCTCGGGGCCGCTTGGGGTCCTCTTGGGGGCCTCCTGGAAGCTTCTTGGATCCTCTTGGAGCATCTTGGAAGCCATCTTGAGGCATCTCGGGCTGCGTTGAGCCATCGTGGAGGTCATCTTGGGCTCTCAAATGCCCTCTTGGAGCCGTCTTGGGCCATCTTGGACGATCTGACCGCTTGCGACCAGCCCCGTCCAGGATCCAGTAACAAATCACCAAACCTTTGCTGGCTTGATGGTAACGTAGTGCAGCACGGAATGTTTTAGCTCGAACGACGGACGGTCTTGCGAATTTATTGCCGCGGAGACCTTATTATCGCATGCTAGCGAACTGTGGAGCACATCGTCCGGATGCCGGGCACAATCCTTAGAATACGTGGAACACGTCTGATTTTGAACCCAATATGACCAGGAAATTGAAGTGGAAATCGCCATGTTTCTTGGATGGGTTCTAAATGCACGTGTGAGTAGTCAATTATGCCGAAATTGATGCCGCCCGATGGTTTCTGCACACCCACGATGTGGCGGTTTCGCAAGTCGCCACTTGTAGCCCCGCGCCGTGCCCAAATTATCAAAAGAGTTATGAAGAATATAATGCGTTTGCGCCCAAATGTCACGAGCGTTCATTGGAGCAAACGGCCTTCCGACATAAAAGCCACACAAACCGTCGCTGTAAGGGCCATCATCGTTGTCGGTGTGCTCCCCGTCGATCTTGCCAAAGCATCGCCCGAGATTGTTCTGAGGCGTGGTGCGCGAAGCCGATCCACGGGCAGTAGCAATGCCGATCCACGGGAGTTGATTAAGCAGGGGAATCAAACAGGGGCGGATGTTACAGGACATGAAACTGCTGCGAAACAGCCAACATGTACAATTCGTTTCATGGAACTGGTCATAATTTGCAATGAGGTATAATTTTCACCAGAAACTACGAAACGTCCAGAAATCGATACGAAAGTAAAACTATTGAATATGATAAACCATGTGCGAGCTATTATGTAAATTCCTGTACGATATTTCAAGGTGATGACAACGAACAGGGCGACGCCTTAATGCCGAAGCTTCTTTGTTAATT